CGGCGGGGATTGAGGTAGTGTATATTCGATTCGCCATCGAATACCCGACCGAATGGCCGTTTTCGTTTGGGGATTTCATGTAGGGTTTCTCGTAGCTAGCCACGCGGCGCTTCTTTGGAAACGATTGGTTCTATTTTGAATGTTTTGCCTTTGGAATGTTTCTTCACGCCGCGTGCGTTCATTTCGCCCTAAACCCGGCCATGCAGTTCCCAAAGTAATCGTGTCACGTGACTCAAAACTTTGTGTCGCGTCCGAGGAAAATGAACATGTCGCACTCAACAAACGCAACAAAGGCCTTTCGTCTCAAAATAATTTTAAAACTAGTTGCCGTTCTCCTGGCGGCTTGCCTCAAGCGAGTCGAGATTCGTATCTTGCCTCCTGCCTTCACGAATTTTATTTTCCTCGTTGTGGCGTACGCCTGGACAAAGGAACTGGCAAGCGAATCGTTTTGGTCGCATTGAAAATCGCAAGTGCACAAGAGGATTGGCGAAAAAATTATTTGTGTTCGCACTTTCAGCAGAGCAGTAGCTGCTGCTGCGATGAAGTTTTTTACTTTCGCCATTGGTTTCAGGCAGCAGAAGGGTCTGGCTGAAAGCGATGGCGATACGTCCATGACCACCACGCCCAATGTGGTACGTCCTGGGTTGATGTCCAAGAAAGACCGTCCAAGGTCCAGTTTTAGCCAAGAGCTGTCGTATTCAAGAAATCGAAAACGCCAACAGCAAGCTTTGGCCAAATAATATCTTCAATGATCCAGGCAGTAATTTACGGGCCTAGCTCCTGCTGTCCCTTTTCCTCCTCTGCATGGCCGGGTTTGGGGCCAGTTCTGACTCAGTTCTGACTGAGGCGAAGCCGAGGTCTTTTATTTCCTATACTGACCAAGTACGAAGTCAATATTAGATTTATCACGACTGACCAAAGCATGTGTTTACCGTATTATCTCTAATATAAGCACGGTCCTTTATTTTTTCAATGTACCTCCGCCCCGTGCTATTATGGAGACGTTCCTTTATTGGAGACTGTTCCATTATTATTTCAACCTCATTTCAGAGGCATGTTGCCATGCCAAATTCATGTATGACACACACATTTCAGGGTTTTTTTCGCCGGTACAGATAATGAATTTACACAGTGTGCTTATAATGGAGACTGAGCACTTTATTTTTTGAATGCCGCCCCAAGGTGTTCTATTATTGGAGACGTGCTATTATTGGAGACTGTGCTTATATTAGAGATAATACGGTAATCGCTAAAAAGGAGTCAAATATAAGCGGTCAATATAGCCCTAAGGAGTGAAATATGCAGGAATATTTGACTGCTTAGGTATGGCAAAAATCTATGTGAGTCAATACTAAGGGAGTGATAATGCATCGGTTGAAACAATAAGACATAGTATCTAATATTGACTGAGTACGAGGTCAATATAGGAAATAAAAGCCGAGTAAAAGACCGAGGCGAAGCCGAGGTCTTTTACGAGGTTTTTATTCCCGTAGCTATGCAGAAGACGTTACTTCAGTAACGTCTGGCGCTAGCCAGGGTCCACACAGCTTTAATTTGGTGTTTGTTTGTTTGTTTGTTTGTGTCACGGCTGGAGCTATCCCGTATCTGTCCCGTATCTGTCCCATATCTGTGACTACAAAGGCTCTACAGGATTGTACATTACAGCTGTCCACGATATTTGCGGGCTCCTGTATCTGTCCCGTACCGTACCAATATTCGTCGTATTCTGTATACGACTCCCTGATGTAGAGGGAGATTTGGAAAGAAATAGGGAGACGAGAAGGAAATTAAATTAGAATAGACGCCGAATAGGTGATAGGATGCGTCAGCATAAACATACTTTGGAAGAGAGATCCCGTCGTCTCCAAAATAAGCGTGAACGAGCGATTCAGCGCCGGTCACAGGAAACGTCGGAAGAGAGATCCCGTCGACTCCAGAACGCCCGTGATCGGCAGAGTCCTCCGGTCCCAGGCAACATCAGGACAGACATCTCGTTGAGTCCAGAACGCCCGTGATCGGCAGAGTCTAAGCCGGTCCCAGGAAACGTCAGGACAGACATCCTGTCGAGTCCAGAACGCCCGTGATCGGCAGAGTCAGCGCCGGTCCAAGTAAACGTCAGGACAGACATCCCGTCGACGCGCAGAAAAACTAAATCTGCAGCCTCCTTTGGCGTCGGACAGGATACGTATTTAAGGAGACTGTAAAGTAATAGTTATGTAATGTCCAAATTTCGACGTGAGCAGCAGGTCACTCGCGTTGATTTTTCGACGTGCGAGCCAAATAACGCGAGCTGAACTTTCGCGTCGCAATCATCCCGTCGACGCGCAGAAAAACTCTTTTGCCGTCGGACAGGATACGTATTTTAGGAGACTGTAAAGTTATGTAATGTGCTCCACAGGCAACCATGCATTCGGCGTCGTCATTGGCTCAACAGGTCAACGTACATGTATTACTACAAAAAGGCCAGAAAATCCGATTACTGTATTAAAATCAACTCATTTTCGCTGGCGATTTAATTTCGCTGATTTCGCCGCTTGGTACCAACCGGCCAAAGTAAATCGCAGGCCAAAGTTTGTCATAATTATGGGCAAATGATGCATTATTGAGCAATGGGTGCATGTGAGAGCAAAAATACCAATCTATTTCAAATTTGACGTGAAATGTGGAAACGTTTTTGCAATACAGTGATGTGGCCAATCAACGGAAAAAGACATTTCCATCAGTTCTTAAAACATGTACGATGAGCTAGGCAAAAAAGCATAAAAGCATAGCGTAGGGCCCTGAGCTTCCAAGCTCTCTCTCCTGAAGTCAATATTAGATTTATCACGACAAACAGTCCGTATTTCAAATTCCAGAACGATAACCTCATGAATCCCGGTTTTATGATTGCGCAACCGTTGCACCACGGCCTACTCATGCAGTGAAACTGCTGCACTAGGCACCGTTCAACTGCGCAACCCCTAAGTAAGGAGTCAAATATAAGAGGTCAATATAGCCCTAAGGAGTGAAATATGCAGGAATATTTGACTGCTTAGGTATGGCAAAAATCTATGTGAGTCAATACTAAGGGAGTGATAATATATATTATACAGTCGTCCCTCTCTAATCCGGCACTTTATAATCCAGCACCCTCGATAAACCAGCACGATTTTCAGTAGCCAAAATGTCCTCTTCATGCACATTGCAGCAGTAAATCAGATTTGTTAATCCAGCACCCTCCCTAATCCAGCAGATTTTCGTGGCACAAATGGTGCCGGATTATAGAGGGACCACTGTACATGATGATTGTATGGAAAAGTGTAGATTTTCAGTATAATATTTCGGAAGCGATGATTTTTGTGCGATCAATCGTTATGTACGTTATTGAACATCTTCTCGTCGCTTTTCTGGCGACCTTCAAGTAGTGCAGCTAGTAGAAGTAAAACCTGCTGCTAGTGTCCCTCTTCACTCGTTCTTTCTTATCTACTGAAAGAGGAAGGCAGCATTCGCTTTTCCAAGAATGCAATGTCGACTGGTGCTCGTACTATAATTGAGAAGGGAGAAATCAAAGTCCCCTCCTGAATCATGCATCATGCCTGGGCCGTAGAATTACAGTAGAAATAATTTTATTTCAGAATACGCTGCTTGTACTAGTACATGTACTAGGTGTAGATTTCCTGCCGGTGCCACTCGACTCGCGTCTCGCGACATTCAAATATATAACTGCTCCTTAACCCCCTTAGTAACCTTACTTGCTTGATCATCTCCCACGTGACTGACTGGTAAATTCGTCAAGTACTGCTGTGGATGGATCGATTCAGGGAGCCGGAGATCGAAGGTAAAATACTTCGAACCACTTCAAACACGTTTCAAGACGCAGTTCCATTTTTTTGTAAAATTGTTTACACAATTTCGTACTTCAATACGCCGTAGAATTACAATAATTATTATCCTCTGCTTGGGAGTCCCGACTGTTTTATTGCTGCACGGCTTTCCCCAACATCGTTCGCTGTACATGTATCGCGGCAAGCAGATTGGATGGCATTGTAGGTGAACTTCATCAACCAAGTGAGCACATCAAATATCAACAGGGACGCTCTGAAAATCACAAACGCTGCGAAATAGATATGAAAATGGTCTTACAAGACTGGTGGGTATTCCACATTCATTGTGTCATATCTTTGGACTGTCCGAAAGTTTGTCGTGTAGTGCAACTTTCACAGGCCAATCCGATGATTGGTATTATGTGGTCTTAATGGCACACACTAATGCGTATGCCGCTGAGTCTATCTACACATGCACGCACATGTGAGTATACATAATATACAATTTTGTTGAGATACTTTATATTATTACATATGCAAAAATAGGCAATCTACATCCATAATAACGGTATGTGTGTGCACTCACTGCTATGACATAGAACGACAATGAGCGGCGACGTCTATTTAAAGTCGCACCTATGTGTGTGGTGTGCATGTGCGCGGGGTCTGCGCGTCTGGCATGGCATGACGTCATTCAACATGACTGTATTGACTATAGTGTTGAACCCCGGTATTGCGCCCCCCCCCCCCCCCGCACCTGCTGTTTGTTCTGGCGTTAGACATGCAACTACTGTAATGACATAAACTCGGATGTTCAAAACAAGTGTCGTGCGGCACCACCATGAATCGGCAGGAAAAGGGGGGGGGGGGGGGGGGGGGCTGCATGAAACCAAGACACAACACCATTGTCACACTGTATGGGTCTGTGTTCTAATCCCCACACCAAAAAAACATACCGTGCAAATACGATGCTCTAGCTCTGGACAGTGGGGCTGTACAGGTCGCCGCTGGGACTTCTTTGGCAACGACTGTATGTTGTTGGCAGAGGGTTTCAAAACCATTGTGTCCAGCTCACAGCCCCCCCCCCCCCCCCTCCATACCACTCCCTTCCAACCCCGCCCGGGAGCGACCCACCCATACCGGATTGGCAGGGCAGAAGCCCAGTCCGCCGCACCAGGTCAGAGACCGACACGAAAGTGAGCCGCATGGCCAGTCTTTCAGTTCACCGTGCAGAATAATTCAGTGCGGGCGAAATGGTATTCACCGAGATAATAAATGAATATATATTATTTATTACTTCACAGACAGACACAGACGCAGAAGTTAATTCCTAGAATTCGTATATAAAGATCCGAGCCAAAGCAAAATAAATTAATTAAAAGGGTAAGTTCAGCGTAAAATATTGTCATGACGCAGGTGGTGAAATCAGCCAGTGTCGTGGGGGAAATTCCTTACTGCAAGAGTTACATAGTATGACTAGGAGCGAGCAACTAACGGCCTAGCGGTGCATTTACAGGAGCCTTTCGGCGATCATTCGGTGACATCATTAGTCGAGGTGTCTGGGATGGGTGACATCATACATGTGCACAGAGCACTGTGCCAGACAAAGCATATTATAATAATAACAGCCTTTCGCGTTGACATCACCAAGCAAACTTGGCTAGTCTCCGCTTAGGCAAAAGACAAAGCAGACCACACAACAGAAAATCAGGACTGTGGTGCCATTCGAAATATCTCTACAGCGCGCCCGCACAGCCGGGAATAGCATGAAGGGAGCAGCTCCCCATCCAGAGATGAATTCCTAGTTCGATGGTAATAATGATGGGAATAGTAACGCTGTCAGCGACAATGAGTAAAACGTAATTCACAATAATGGAATCATGCTGGAGCCAGCCAGCCAGCCAGCCAACACAGCTAGTAGTATAATTATGAGTCATCTTCTTGCAGAAAGAAATGGATTTATGCGGCACCCCATGATGCAAAACTCAGCGACTCAACAGTGGGGCAGTTTCAGGGGCACCACCGGAGTTAATTCTGTTCTAGAGTGAGCTAATAACACAGCTATGCATAACTACTCTAAGTCCCAAACCGGGCGGCGTCAACACTATTAGGGAATTGAACGGCGGGTAGAATGCGCCAGGATACGAAGCAAACGTCCATTGATCACCATAACGCTAGACCAGCTAGCTGAGAACACACACAGTGATCGTTTGAGTCTTTTTCAATTGCCACAATTTTTAACACAAGAAAAGTCTCCTTCGCTGTGGGATGGATATTTCACCGCGGTGAATGCTTCCAGCATGATAATCATTCCCGGCATTGCGTGTGTCCCAGCGTGAAGTGACAGTTCACGGACGGTTAGCCCCGGCACGACGTGAGCTGTTAGTCACACACAACACACACACACACACACACACACACACACACACACACAAACACACACACACACAAACACACACACTCACACAAACACACGCGTATTCATTGCCCCACCACATGGCGATGACAACGCCTCACTAGCGACGCCATCACCCTCACCGGGTGCGTGTGACGACGATAGCAACGATAGCGACGCATGACACAGACTGACACGGTTGTCGCCTCCAACACTGATCGTCACCACACTATTCACAAAGCCGTCGAGTTCTCTCCCATCCGCAAACCATAGACGTACCAGGGAGTACAATTCGGTTTTTTCCACATATTGTCATCACATCACACTCCAAAAAGTTATCTGATGTTCTTTTTTTTCGGTCATCACACTCCATCAGGTTTTCTGACGATTTTTTCCCCGAGTTTGGCCAAACCCTGCAAGCGCAGACTCGGGATACTGTTGATGCCAAAACAGCGGATGCCTGCCGTTAGCGGATGCCTGCCGTTAGCGGATGCCTGCCGTTAGCGGACGAGCTGCATGGTCCTGATGTCGACACCTCAAGCGTACGGGTCGTGCGTGGGGCTAGTGATGATGGCCCCCGGCGGGCGGCCCGACCTCAATCAGACAGTCCTAACAGTGAAGCAAATGACTAACGTAACCAAAGACTGCAGATCGCATACAGCGAAATAGTTGCGATGGGGTTGATGATGCCCACCGCGATCCCAGTGTTCTAGGGCATGGCAAGACAACTTGCAATGGCCATAGCTTGCTTCAACCATGCTCCACGTTAAACGACGATCAGTCAGTTCTTGCTAGTGTTTCAGATGTCACCCGGTGGCAGGCTTGGCTCACAGAAGTAGTCCGGCTGGTCGATGGACGAGACCCAGGATGGGTTGCGGAGGTTGTTCTGGATGACGCGGTGCAGTCGAATAAAGTCCTTGTTACACCGGCCCTTGATCTCCAGAACATCTAAGCAATCAAGCAGGGAGTGAGTAGGAAGAAAGAGAGCCAGACACATAGACAGCCAGCCAGGCAGGCAGATAGACAGATAGACAGCCAGGCAGGCAGATAGACAGATAGCCAGCCAGGCAAGCAGATAGACAGGCAGGCAGGCAGATAGATAGACAGATAGACAGCCAGGCAGGCAGATAGACAGACACAAACACACAAGGAGGGAGAGACAGACAGACAGAGAGATTTAGACACACACGCACATACGGGGAGAGAGAGAGAGAGAACAAAACAGGGTCATATTTGCCAACCATACCGGTTTTCCCGGTATTATACCGGGAAACTACGGTCACTACCGGCATACCGGGGCTCTTTGACTTTGATCGAAAAACTACCGGTATTGGCACTGAACCATGAATGTTCATAAAAAGGTTATTTTGTGGTGTGACAAGGGCACATGGGGCCCTGCATTGCACAGAATCACTGCATGTAGGGGCGATCTGACAATAAAGAAACTCAACCCCCCCCCCCCATGAGCAATGGGTTAGAAACGAATAAAAAGAACGACAGAATTGCGGAAAAAAATTGCGGAAAATATGCAAAAAATAATCAAAAATTGCCCCCGAAAAAGGGAAAATGGCCGAAATTGACAAAAACCAGAAAAAAAAGGGAAATGAGAGAAAATTAAGGGAAACTGGTTGTGTGACTAAGGGATTTGCTTTGGCTGGGTTGGCAAGTATGCAGGGTCCTATTGTGATAACGTTCCACCAAGGGACAGAACAAGCCAAGCTAGAGACATGTACTTCAGTTGATCATTTTTATAGTTTCGCCTTACCTGTCAAGATGTGCTTGTACGCTTCGTAGGATGCCTTGACAGCGGAGATCTCGGCAGTCAATTCGTCTTCCATGAAGGGACGTCCGCATAGGGTTTCTAGGAATGACCTGTTTGCAGAGAGGGTAGAAACAAAAACACCCAGAACAACCATAGACCACACACCCACTGATTGTGTGTGTGTGTGCGTGCGTGCGTGTGTGTGTGTGTTTGTTTTCGTTTACAAAAGAACACAAGCCTGGCTAAAGAGAAAAGAAAGATAAATATTATTCAATTACCCTGATGAGGGGCCAGGCCCGGAAATTTGGTGGAATGTACATTTTAATTTGAATCGCAGTGAAGAGACCGTTTTTGGAGTTTGGAAATAAGATGCGACGTTTCCTAAATGTTTAAGTGGCTGCGCTGGAGTTTGCGGACAATTAGAAAAGATAAATAAAATAATAGAAAAAGTGCCTTTCAAACTCACTACTAGCACTTGCAAGCCAGAACGGAGCAGATAATAAGATAACGCTCGCCACCACCAAGTAAAAGGAGTGTGCGCCGTATATTTCTCACATGAAATGCGAAGGCCCTGATTCCCACAACGGGAGATGACGCCCTGCGCATCGCGAACACCGAAAAAAATCCAAAGCGGTTTCGTCGACTTACTTCAAACTAGACTTGCTCATCGGCTTCAGGCAAATGGTGACGGCGTATTGGCCGTGGCTTTGCAACCGACGGATGCAGCTGATGTCCGAGTCCAGAAGAGGAGAGATGCCTCGCTGCACATACATCACAAATGACAACAAACAAGTTTAGGAGCCAGAAAATCTGCAAAAAAAGACATTGAGACTATATTTCAAAGCTTTTTCACAGTTGATTCTCTTATGAGTATTAAGTAAGTAAGTAAAGTTTGCACGTCCACGTTACCACCAGCTATACAATTGCGTTGAGAAACACAACCAGCTTAGGAAGTTTCGCATGTGCCAGGCCACCACCATGCCTGTGATACCAGAGTATTAGGGGAGCTAAAAGCATTTGCTGAACATAGTCTTTACAAGTTTTAAAGAAATGCTTGGTGATTTTGGGGGTTGAGTACCAGCAGCAAGGTCATGACTGTATATACAAGGTTCATGTAATGGCAGAGTACACAGCATAGTGATCATGAATGACCACATAGTTTAATGCATCCCTCTCGGCCGCACAGCCCAATCCATGGTGTGCGTGTGTGTGTGTGCGCGCGCACGTGTGCGTGTGTGTCTGTGCGTGTATGTGTGTGTGTGTCTTTGTCTATGCCTGCATATCTCTGTGCGCGCGCATGCGTGCACGCTTTCTTACGTTGATGACTTCTCGCACAGCGTCGATAGTGATGCTCTCAAAGCCTTCCTGGGTCTCAATAGACTGGGAATACACCAGCTCGTTGTGTTCAACACGACGATTGCGTTCCGCCAGCGTCTTGTAGTATGCTACACAGAGTGCAGAACAAAGGACGCCAAAGTTAATTTACAACAGAAACATTAATTATGCCACCACACACGCAAGAACAAACACATATGCACATGCACATACACACACACACACACACACACACATACAGAGGTGAAAAGCCAGCGTAAATTCGAAGAGCCAAATTGCTTGCAATACTTTCCATACAAATACAACTCAGCGTACGGCAATTCCCAAAGAAGATACGAAGATCCAGACGCAATACCCCTCCCCCCCCCTCACTGCCCAAATACACTTTGTGTTAAAGTAATTAGTTAGCCGGATTCGCGGCTGCATCACCTGACGTGTTCAGGAACACACCAAGCAAATACATTCGCATCGGCGGGCCACCACTTAGCCCATATATCGTCAGTGTTGAATGCAGACCTCTCAAGTGAGTCAGGGGAGAGGGGATAAGTCTCTCGACAAGCGTTAATGGCTTGTGAAGGATGGATACAGCTAATGGGATTTCGGTCTTTGACCACTTGGTGGTGGGTCTGATCTACTCAACTCCCACCGTTTAGGCGCTGCATCTGCGCCTTGATACACAAAGGGTGATGGCGTTCCCACGGCGGATGCGGAAAACTCGGCTTTCAGCCGAGTCTCACGCGAACCGTGAAATTTATTATTTAAAGGACAGAGTGCCAGAGCTCAGAGACTTACTCTTCGTACATGTACCGTAGTACGACGGGTAGAGTTTCTCCAGCTCACGCAGGATCACGTGTGTCATGCTGCCGAACAGTACAACGGGACGTACTCGTGCACCTTGAACACCGCAAGCATTCAGAGGACACAGGCAGGCAGACAGACGGACACACATAAGCACACATCGCAACAACAGACACATCAATATCCATAGGACGTTACAGTAAAGCCGGTCAAGGCGACCACTCTGATAAGGCGACCACCTGTCCTAGAGGACCACTACAACAATGGTATGTATGATTTAACTCGGATGGTGAGCCGATGAAATTATGGTGAAAAAAGTAGGACAAAATGTTACGAGTTCTGACTATTTCGTCGCACTCGCTGACTGTATAAGATCTGGTTACGTTGGTGGACAGTTAGTCATAACTCGTAACATTTTGTATCTATGATTGTATGAAAATGGCAATAGTCACCCAGGGTTTGTTGTACAGTGTGTAGGGATTGGGTGCAGGACCGGCGAAAGCAGTTTTTGATTGATCAGACCATACCCTAGCCTTTCATACAGATTGTGTATGATATGGAGGGTATACACATGACTTTAATACAGTTTGTGTATGATATGGAGGGTATACACATGACTTTCATACAGTTTGTGTATGATATGGAGGGTATACACATGACTTTCATACAGTTTGTGTATGATATGGACGGTAGTCACATGACCTCCTCAGCAAAAAACACACGTTGGTGGTCAAGAAGTTTGTCCGACCGTGGCCTGACCAACTGGACTGGTTCTGCCGTGCCTGGGGTGGTGCCTGTATGGTTCTGCCGGGCCTGGGGTGGTGCCTGTATGGTTCTGCCGGGCCTGGGGTGGTGCCTGTATGGTTCTGCCGGGCCTGGGGTGGTGCCTGTATGGTTCTGCCGGGCCTGGGGTGGTGCCTGTATGGTTCTGCCGGGCCTGGGGTGGTGCCTGTATGGTTCTGCCGGGCCTGGGGTGGTGCCTGTATGGTTCTGCCGGGCCTGGGGTGGTGCCTGTATGGTTCTGCCGGGCCTGGGGTGGTGCCTGTATGGTTCTGCCGGGCCTGGGGTGGTGCCTGTATGGTTCTGCCGGGCCTGGGGTGGTGCCTGTATGGTTCTGCCGGGCCTGGGGTGGTGCCTGTATGGTTCTGCCGGGCCTGGGGTGGTGCCTGTATGGTTCTGCCGGGCCTGGGGTGGTGCCTGTATGGTTCTGCCGGGCCTGGGGTGGTGCCTGTATGGTTCTGCCGGGCCTGGGGTGGTGCCTGTATGGTTCTGCCGGGCCTGGGGTGGTGCCTGTATGGTTCTGCCGGGCCTGGGGTGGTGCCTGTACATCAGTGTACAGTAAAACCTGTGACTAACAATCACCCCTTGCGGTCAGAGAAAGTGGTCTTTACTGGCAGGTGGTCCTTAGTTAGAGGTTTGCACCGCACAACCATAATAATTATATGAATGTGAGACCATCCGTGCCTGGCGAAAAGGTCTGTAGTACCAGGCTGGTCGCTAGTCACGGTGGTCTTTAGTTACAGGTTTTACTGTAGTACCAGGCTGGTCGCTAGTCACGGTGGTCTTTAGTTACAGGTTTTACTGCAGTACCAGGCTGGTCGCTAGTCACGGTGGTCTTTAGTTACAGGTTTTACTGTAGTACCAGGCTGGTCGCTAGTCACGATGGTCTTTAGTTACAGGTTTTACTGTAGTACCAGGCTGGTCGCTAGTCACGGTGGTCTTTAGTTACAGGTTTTACTGTAGCACCAGGCTGGTCGCTAGTCACGGTGGTCTTTAGTTACAGGTTTTACTGTAGTACCAGGCTGGTCGCTAGTCACGGTGGTCTTTAGTTACAGGTTTTACTGTAGTACCAGGCTGGTCGCTAGTCACGGTGGTCTTTAGTTACAGGTTTTACTGTAGTACCAGGCTGGTCGCTAGTCACGGTGGTCTTTAGTTACAGGTTTTACTGCAGTACCAGGCTGGTCGCTAGTCACAGTGGTCTTTAGTTACAGGTTTTACTGTAGTACCAGGCTGGTCGCTAGTCACGGTGGTCTTTAGTTACAGGTTTTACTGTAGTACCAGGCTGGTCGCTAGTCACGGTGGTCTTTAGTTACCGGTTTTACTGTATCGTTGTTCAGGATACTGTGGAGGAGAGCTTACCGGCAATCAACTCGATGTATTCATACGGCGGTGTAGGACCTGGACGCAGGAAAAAAGTAAACACCGATACAAACAGTCAGTCAATATTCATACAGTGAAACATGTAATTTTAGGTGTGCTAAGGGGTTCCGTGCCATGCATCTAACAGGTTTCAGGTGTAATATAGAATTTGGTGACCAGCTTTCCCTGCACCTACTGTGCACGCTCATGTGCCATTAGGTGAAATTTTAATTTAGGTGCCTGGTTTCTCTACCGAAATCACCGAAATTAAAGTTACACCGAAAATAGCATGTTTTACAGCATCCGCGAAAACAACGATTACAGCGAAAACGACGATTGTCATGTCGACCGAAACGTGGTATGCAATGGGGCTGGGTCCCCATGATCAATACTTTGTGAGAAGTAAGAAAAGTGGTGATGCATATCTTCAGCACCCCTGGTCAGGTCGCAGCCCAGGATCCGACCTTCCCAGCCGGTCAACAACCTATGTAAATACTAGAGAGAAGGAGAGATAGAGCCTGAGAGACACTAGCAAGGATCTTTCCCACTTTCACACAAACACTCCAGCCACTAAATCATTACTTCTCATTATGTAAGAACATAACCTTACCACACACGTGATGGCCGGCGGAGAGCTCGTCCATGATTTGCGTCACCGTCTTTGAGCCGCGTCGTCGCTGATTGCCGCGAATGCCGAACACGTGCAGCGCGCGATGGACAAACGTTTTACCGTTGCCGCCACTGGCGGAGTTGTCTCGGTGTGTGTGATCGTCCTCGCTCCTGGTGTCGTCGTCGACCGCTGGCCCGCGAGTGTGCAGCGGGGAGCAACGCGCCCCGGTCGTTTCCTCGTAAACGGGACCGGCGCCGAGCTCTCGTGCAGCTGCCAGCGCCGCCGGTGTGCTCTTGGCACTCATCGGAACGGACACGGACTTGGCAGGCTTCGTGCTTTGACCGCTCGCTTTGGTCGTGTTGGGCGTGAAGGTCACCGGTGTGCTGTTCGAATCCGCCGCCGTCGCCACCGTCGTCGCTGCGGTGGACGACGGCTGCTTCGTCGACGTCGTGTTGTTCTGGTGGCACATCTGGGTGACGTGCGAGCGCGCACTGCAGGAGGACATACGGAACAAAAACACACAAGTTTGCGCACAGACAAAGAGACGCACATGAGCACAAACCCACACACGCGATCCCACACCCACGCATGCGAGCCCACACCCACGCATGCGAGCCCACACCCACGCATATGAGCACACAAGCATATGCGTACACACATGTTGTATAATACTAGTAAAATCGAGGTGGAGATAACAGGAAATAGTGCTCCCCACGCTGGAGCTCGCCGAAATTATCGCTGAAATTGATACCACTACCTCGTGGAGACAACCGTATAATGAAAATAGTAATACTTTGAATCATATGAGTTGGCCAGGGGCTATGCGGCCGGACGCCGCTATGCCACATGACCAAAATAACCAAAATCAGCGCCCGGCACTGCAAGCTTACAGTGTGGTCCCAGTGATTTCATTTGCACAGCTGTCTGCCAGGGCTGGACACTCCTCTCTGGCTACAGCTTTGGTGCGGCGGCCGGAATAGCTTCTGCCGTTCAGTTGCCGAGCTCCTAGTCTGAGTATGACAATGTGTTGTAGTACGTTGCTTATCCGGTCCTCTTTTATGTGGATTCCTCACCATCCGGAAGAAAATCGCTGGTTACCGATTTACAGAATATGTCATGCATGTATACAGTGTGTGTGTGTGTTCGATTATCCGGTTCCCTCGCCTTTCCAGATATTTTTTGTGGAAAACGGATGTGTGCGGTTATGCGAAGTCTGACTGTACTCCAAATTCAGAAACGTTTGGTTCTCAAAATTGTAGGTATGAGGGCAAGAGGCCAGGCAAGAGGCCAGGTTAGGTGACCATACATTTCAGGCACAGAGAAGTAGTTCCCTGAACGTGCTTGTTCGGTTATTGAAATTTCAGGTACGAAACAGACGCGCCGAAAGTACCGAAAATAGAAGGACACCAAAATGTTGAGAATCACAGTAAACCTGTTTTCCGTGCCCGCATTCGCTTTCTGCACTGTGTAGCAAGGCTCAGCTCAGTACTAGCGAAGGCACTCACGTTTTCGGACACGGTATGCCTCCGATACGCTCCGTGTCCTTGTAGTGAAGGATCTTGCAGCCCATCCAGGCGCCGATCCTGCCCTCCGGCATCGTGTCGTGGATGTGGAGGATGTCACCATTAGCGATGCACAGCTGATCAGGTCGTGTGGCCAGATAGTTGAAGTTAGCCCTGTATGGAGTGGATGCAGAAAAGAGAAGAGACAGAGAGAACTTGTAAATTGGTGCAAGATAGATGATAAGCAGAAAACAAGCAGAAAGACTTAAAAGTAACAGAGAAACTCAGCAGGGCAGAGTAGCTGCGAGTTGAGACAAATGTTACCACCTTCATCATCACAAAGAGCACGCGCATGTGCACGCGTGAGCACCTAACCACGCACGCGCACGCACGCACTCACACACACACACACACACACACACACACACACACACACACACATACTAGAGTCGTGGGCATATCAGCAGCAGCAACAGTGCGAGCCTTAGCTAGAATGCAGACCATTGGTCAATAGAAAGACCCTTAGTGGCCTTACATGCCATATAATACTATTACATAGTCTTACATGATCTGCAAATCCTTACATGATAAATACCCTTATGTGATCTGCAAACCCTTACATGATAAATACCCTTATGTGCATGATATGCAAACCCCTACAAAATCTTCAGACCCGAGTCAATACACAGGATCAACCCATCACACGTTGGTATAACAGGCATGGTGGTGGCCTGGCATGAGCAAAACGTCCTCAGCTGTGTTTCTCTACGCAAGTGTATAGCCGGTTGTAACGCGCGGACGTGTGAACTTTTTTTTTTTTAACCCAGGACACTTACCTGACATAGAAGTTCTCCTTGGCTTTCCCACTGTTGACCTTGTTATAACCTAGCAGAATATGCAGCAGACAAACAAGATACACGTCATAACCTAATACGATACATTGAACACTAAACGCAGTCTAATGACGACGGCTGCAGATGTATGCACTCTCTTCCTTCTGTGCCACCCAGTAAACATGACACTACATGTGTTTATTCGCCTGGAGAATATACAGTGCGGCTTTGAGCAGGTTGCATACGAGTTTACTTCTTTTCCAGTCACGAAGCAACATGATTATGTACTTTTATCGAGTAGTATGCATGTAGCGTTCGTTGTCATGGTAACACGTACCGTCTTCGTCCGTCTCCACGACGATGTGAACGATCTCACTGAACGCGACAGTGTTGTCTATCCAGTACTGGGTTAGCTCCAGCGGTGCGTCCTGCACGTCTTTACTCTGCACCTGAACACACACACGGACACACACAGCCACAAGTATAGAATGAAGTATTCGGAGTAAGAATAGAAAAAGAAGAAGAAGAACCACTGGAGAATGTGCTCTTCTATATTTTATTATTTATTTTTCTAAGGATCAGTCGGGGAAGTGAACTGCCTGAAAAGAGAAAAAAACGCCAGACCCACCAGGACTCGAACCTGGGACCCTGCTTGTCATGAGCAATGCTCTAACCACTGAGCTATGGGACCAGGCTGAACCTAGAAGGCGCTGACAAGTTTTTCACTCCAAAGGCAGCTCACAACACGTGCCACACATACTCCCCCCCCAGAGTACAGAGCATCTTAGGATAAATACACCTGTTACACGCATATATGTGCACGTGAGCACGTGCACACACAGATGCACGCAGACGATGCAT